ACCCAAGTAAAAATAGATAGGACGGAGCTGTAATTATTTTCTTCAGTTTTTTATATCCCTTCCTAGCTATTAAGCAACACTGATTTCCTATAGGTAAGTTTCAAGTTTCACCACACACCTCTGAACACAAGAAAAGTGAAACAGTGAAGTACAGTCAAACCTCGGTTGTTGAACGTAATCAGTTTTGGCAGCCCGTTGACTCTCGAAACCATTCGAAAACTAAGGCACAGCTTCCAATTGGCATCGGACATTCAGCTTCCAAAAGACGTTCGAAAACCAGAACACTTACTTCCGGGTTTTCGGTGTTCGGGAGCCGAAATGTATGGTAACGGAGGCATTCGGGAGCCAAGGTTTGACTTTACTTCAGACTGTTGTGTTCTGTTTTGTTTGAAAGGGGGACCAGTACCACTTCAGTTTTTTTAAAAAGTACTTTTTTAAAAAAGCAGGGATATAGAGTGAATGTATCTTTAGCACCTAATAACACACCACCAATGCTAACATTTATGTAACAAGCAATAATAGAGCCTAATCTAAAGGTAACACCATTTCTTCACATTTTAATTGTGTTTTCTTCTCAATCACACAGATAACCTTCTTTCTTTCTTTTTTTAAAGTGCTACTACCGCAAAAAAAACACTGTTGTGATTTCTTACGTTGTCCATTGTATGCTGTTCCTCCATAGAAGCAAGCCACAGTGAGTTTCCTTGTGACATCTTTGAAGTCTCTGGCTACTTGCATTGCCAACTCTCTGGTTGGAGTGAGGACCAAAACCTAAATATTTTGTTGAAATGCAGTTAGTGTTATTTGAGTGTTGTAAACGTATAGGCTGAAATATTCTTTTATTTAAATCTTCAGAATTTTTGCAAGTTTATTTTTACTTGAACATACGCTATTATACATGGTGGAAGATATTCAGAGCTGCATAGGTGAAAATCTCCTCCTCCTACCTGCCCAATCTGCTCTGGAGGGTCTCCCAACTTTGTGGAGCACATCTGGGGGCATGTGGGGGCGGCAGCAGGGGAGGGGGAAGAAGCAAAAGTCAGTTTCACTCACCTTTGGTGTGCGGCCTCTTTTTCTTTCCTGGGGATCTCCCTGAAGTTTTTCAATTAAAGGAATGGCAAAAGAGAAGGTTTTCCCAGTTCCAGTCCGAGCTTGGGCTATCACATCTTTACCATCAGAAATATGCTTGTAAGTCTTTACTTGAACTGGAAACAGGTAGGTAACTCCACGGGCTGTGGAAGAATACAGTTAAGGCTTTTATATAGAAATATGTAAAATCATCATGATTCAACAGCTGACAATTGCTTATACGAAAAGAACCCAATTCATAGCATGAAAGTAATTCAAGTGTTTTTATTTAAATATTGGAGGAAACAGCTATGATTCTGAGATCTCTCTCCTTGGTGTTCACAGCCAAATTAGAATGCATCAGGGTATTTGTAAATTTTGACTATTGTTCCAATGTGCATCATTCTGTACTTAGATGGAATCTCATCTACTATTGCTCAGCCACTGTTCTAAGACATAATGAAATAACCAGTCCTGGTGAGAGCAAGATGAAAATGGGCAGGGAGGGAGGGAAGAGGAGTGTTCTGCTTCAGACTGTAAACATTTAAAGAACATACCTTTGAGAAGGTCAATTGTTGCTTTAGAGAGATTAAAGTTGGCAAAGTCTCCTTCCTTTTGCTCTTCAGTCAATTCCTGTTAGGATTTTTTTAATGCAAAAGATTAGTTACAGAAAATCAATTTAAAATATTCCAAAAAGTGCTAGAAGCGCCAAAAGGAAAAGTGCTTAATATATCTGGTAAATGTTTTCACAGATTCAAACATCTTGGGGGGAAAATAAGGAATGGAAGGCAAGAGATACAATGATATTCTGTACATAAGGCTTTCATAAACTTGTAGTATAGATGAACAAGAAAAGAACAGAAACCTCAGTACAAAACACTTACAGCAAGTCCATTATATTGAAAGTGCATTGTCAACAGACATAATTTATCAACAGAACAGCTAAACAAGGGCAAAACGCTGATGATGTGGCTCAGAGACTGCACTACATATTTGAACGGGAACCAAGTGACAATTCATAAAGGAAATTATTTTAAGTTCCTCATACAAAGTCTGGTAGCTTCCAAACTTGATGTATGTTATGAACATCAGAAGCTACATCATTGCGAATCAGACCACTGGTCCCTCTATCTCAGTATTTACATGGATTGGCAGCAGCGTTCTGTGTTACAGAGACCTTCTTCTGGGTACCCCACCTTCTAAAGCAACCACAGACATTTTGACTGCATCACCTCAATTGTGGGACTTTTGCTAGGGATGCTTCCCAAACACTAACTCTTATGTCTTTTCATTGTCAACCTTTTAAACATCAGATGAGCTGTTTTTAAATGAGTCTGGTGCTACTCATCTTGATGTTACTGCTGTTTTCCCTACTGTGGTGTTTACTGTAGTTTCAGTCCATTTAGGAGTTAGCCGCCCCTACGTTAGAGTATTTTTTGCCATAGCATCTACAAGAACAAGGCCCTTTATCCTCAAACTGAACTCAGAAAATGGACACCTTCAGCCTGTTTACCCAAACCCTTGGGTCTGTGCACTTGGAAGTCCCAAGGTTAATAAAATGCCCTTGCATCTCCAATGTATGGAATATTTGGACAGAACTTTCCAATGCTGGAAAACATATGTGTGGACTAGACTGGAAAACATTCTACTTTTAATTATTATTATTTCATCATCATCTATACTTCCCTTCAGGCAATATCTTAAATAAATGCTGTTTCCCAGGGTGACCCACAACAAAACACCACCATAAAGTCTTTACAATAACAAAAAATGAAACATCACAATTAAAACCAGCAATTGATATAAGTAATTGAAACAGTTGAAACTTGGAACCTAGAGAGTCTGGGAGAAGTTTAAAAAGTCTTCATCTGGTGACAAAAAGATTATAAAGTTGTCACCAGGAAAGCCTCCCTGTAGAGCAAGTTTACATTAACAGGGTGTCACACCAAGGAGGTACTTTTTCTCATTGCAATCTACATTTCAGGTAGTGATGGCACAAAGATAACAGATAACCTAAGCCCCCGGGCATGGAAACACAGAAAGGAATTCCTTCATGTATCCAAGTCCCAAACCATGTTAGGACTCAAAAATTATCAACACTTTGAATTGTGCTTGGAAAAGGAATTATGACTACATCTTGCCTCAGTACATGGGTTAATACACTTACCTTTCCCAACGTCTGCACTGAAATTCCACTGAAATTAAGTATACAAAATGAAAGGTCTGAAGGTATCATCTCACCTGATCTTGGTCACTCTCACATTCCGTATTTGATTCTTCAGTATTACCCTGCTTTTTTGAGTTGCCAACCCCATTAGTGGCAGAGGGTGTTGTATTGTGTTCCGCAATTATGACTTCAATGTCATCAAAAACTTCTTTCTTTTTCTTACTTTTCTTTGGTTTGGGTGGTTCCAATTCTGTATCAGACAGTTCATTCTCCTCTGTTGGTGTTTCTTTAATTTTCATTTTATGCTTTTTAGATTTATCTTTTTTATCCTTCTACAATAAACAAACAACCTCAAATTAATATGCACAGACATATCTACCCCTCCCCGGGGGAAAAACACATTTCCCCCTATATTATTTGAAGCTATGCAGTTCATTGTGTTTGTATGCAATTACATCCTTATGTAAAGTCCCACTGACCTCAGTGAGGCTTACTTCCGTTGCCTTTTACAAGTAGATTTTCTTTTATGTAACCCTCACCCTGGCTTTAATGTATCTACGTAGGGGGTTGGTTGGTTTGCTTGTTTGGCAAGATAAAGTGAATAACAAACTTAATAAACAATAATAATAACGTACTGCTTACACTACAATGCAGCTCAACCATGCATCTTTCGAATTACGCGCAAGTAACTAAGAGCATAAAGAGCCTGCTGGATCAGGCCAATGGCCCATCTAATCCAGGATCCTGCTCTCACAGTGGCCAAGCAAACACCCGCGGGAAACCAGGGAACAGAGCAGGAGCACAAGGGCGCTCTCCCCTCCCGTGGTTTCCAGCAACCGGCGTTCAGAAACGCCGCTGGCTCCAACTGGGGAGGCCGAGCTTGGCCACCGTGCCCAGTAGCCATGGATAGCTTTATCCTCCCGTTGCATAATCCTCTCAGAAAGCCATCCAAGTTGGCGGCCATCCTCACTGCCTCCTGAGAGCGCAAGCCGCGCAGTTACAAACTATGCGCTGCGTGAAGAAGCACTTCCCCTTTTAAAAAATAAATAAATAAGATTAAGAGTGCTTGGTTTTTTAAAAAAATAAATAATTTCGGCCGGGGGAGCGAAGCAAGACTGGCGAGGCCCACGTTGTTAAAGGCAGCCGCGTGGCAGCGGCTCGCCCCCACGCGCTCTTGCGCTTCCGAGAAGCGAGAATTCGACTACGCGGCCGCCGAGGGCCGCGGCTGAGGAAGAGATGCCGCCTTTGGCTCCTCCTCCTCCTCCCGGGCCCGGCTCGCCTCTCCACTCGCGGCCACGAGGCCCAGCCGGCCCGGCGTCTTCTCCCGTTCTCCCTCGCCCCGGATACCTTGCGCTTCTTGCCGCTGCCCTCCAGGGCGGCCTCGGCGTCCACCGGGGTGCGGGGCTCCATCTCGTCCTCGCTCTCGTAGTCTGGCCGGGGGGCTGCGGGCATTTCCTGGGACTCTTCTCCGCTGAGGTGGTGGCACAAGCGGCTGCTCAAGGCCGACGCCGGGGTAAAAGGAAAGAGCCCCGCCCCGGCGGCGCTGCTGACGAGGAAGCGAGGCGGCGCTTGGCTGCGGGAGGCGGCTCTTGGCCAGGCCCAGCCCCGCCAACAGGGGGAGCGAAGCGTGGGGAGGCCCGGGGCTGAGGAAGCCGAGCGGTCGCTGGTGGCGCGGGAGGAGGGCAAAGCCCGGGAGCGGACGAGGCCCAAAGCCTGCAGGGCCGGCGAGCGGGCGCAGTGCTGCGTGAGGCAGCGGCCGAGGCAGCCCATTCCCAGGCGGCGAGTGCGACTGTCCCCGGCTAGCAGCTCCCGCTGCTCCGCCTCCCCTGAGGTGAAGCGCGGTAAACGGACACTCCCCCCCTCGGTGAGTCATCGCCGTCTTTCTCCGCGTTGGCTCTGCTGTCGCCGCCGCACTAGGTGGCAGGCGAGAGGACGGCCTCGGGGGTGAAGCCGAAAGGTTTCCGTACCGTTCAGCACCGTTTCCCTCTGGCCCGAGTCCTGTCGCTGCTGCCGGAGGCCAAGCAGTAAATCCCAGCGGTGAAAAGAATTTGCAGAGAGATATGTGGCAAGTTGGCTGAATCAAACTGGGCTGTCACCCGCCCCACACTTCTCGATTATGTGCTGCAGCCACCACCGCCACCCCACTTCCCATGCTTTAAAGTAACCGAAAGTCTAAACTTTAAAATCAGTAGGGTTTTGGTAAGGAAACGCCCCCCGCTTCGCTGAAGAATTTGCACTCTGCATATGCCCAGAGCAGGGGGGCCAACTTGAATAAAATATGGAGGGCCCAGGTAAGCCCTGCCCCGCATACCGTATTTTTCGCACCATAGGACGCACTTTTTCCCTCCTGAAAAGCAAGGGAAAATGTGTGTGCGTCCTATGGAGCGAATGCAGGCTTTCGCTGAAGCCTGGAGAGTGAGAGGGGTCGGTGCGCACCGACCCCTCTCGCTCTCCAGGCTTCAGGAAGCTATCCGCTAGCCGCGGCTAGCGGAGCGCTGCATTAATCCCGAAGCTTGGGGCGCGCGGAGCTCAGCGCACCCCAAGCTTCTGGGTGCCGGCAAGGTCTCGCTAGCCCTGGGAGAGCCCCGCGACGTTGCGTGGCTCTCCCAGGGCTAGCGAAGCGCCGTGCTAATCCCGAAGCTTGGGGCTTCGGGATTAGCGCTCCGCTCAGCCTGCTTCCCGGAGCGCCGGGCGCCCTGAAAGCAGAGCTCCAGGCGCTTCGGGAACACATCCGCAGCATGGGGAGCCTTGCAGGAATTCCCCACAGGGCTCCCCACGCTGCGGATAGCAGCCTGCTGCCTGGCGGGTGGGGCGCCCTGAAGCAGAGCGCCCCTCGCGCCAGGCAGACATCCGCAGAGTGGGGAGGCTTGCAGGAGTTCCCGACAAGGCTCCCCACGCTGCGGATAGCAGCCTGCTGCCTGGCGGGTGGGGCGCCCTGAATCAGAGCGCCCCTCGCGCCAGGCAGACATCCGCAGAGTGGGGAGGCTTGCAGGAGTTCCCGACAAGGCTCCCCACGCTGCGGATAGCAGCCTGCTGCCTGGCGGGTGGGGCGCCCTGAAGCAGAGCGCCCCTCGCGCCAGGCAGACATCCGCAGAGTGGGGAGGCTTGCAGGAGTTCCCGACAAGGCTCCCCACGCTGCGGATAGCAGCCTGCTGCCTGGCGGGTGGGGCGCCCTGAAGCAGAGCGCCCCTCGCGCCAGGCAGACATCCGCAGAGTGGGGAGGCTTGCAGGAGTTCCCGACAAGGCTCCCCACGCTGCGGATAGCAGCCTGCTGCCTGGCGGGTGGGGCGCCCTGAAGCAGAGCGCCCCTCGCGCCAGGCAGACATCCGCAGCGTGGGGAGGCTTGCAGGAGTTCCCGACAAGGCTCCCCACGCTGCGGATAGCAGCCTGCTGCCTGGCGGGTGGGGCGCCCTGAAGCAGAGCTCCCCGCCCGCCGGACAGACATCGGCCAGCCCCACAAGCTTGGGGGACAGCAGGGAGGCGCAGCGCCACTATCCCGCTGTTCCTCGACCTGGTTCGGTTTCCCTGACCTGCTTTTGGGGGGGAAATAAAGGGGAAAATTTTTTCCTTTATTTCCCCCCCAAAAAACTAGGTGCGTCCAATGGTCCGGTGCGTCCAATCGTGCGAAAAATACGGTAATTGAATCACAGGATGAGGCACACACACAGTTTGAATGGCAATGCCCATCAACTTTGGGGTGGGGGCTGGTCCTCTCAAATATTATATTTGGGGGGCGAAGACCCCTCCACCCCTTGGAGTTGGCTCTTTTTTTAGGATCATGTATTTCCTAAGCTGACCTGATTCTAATGATACCTTAGGAATCTTAAGAATTTCTCAGAGACAAATCTAGTCCAGCATCCTACTACTTCCCACAATAACCAACCAGGCAACAGCTCTCTTCTATACTGTATGTCCTCCGCAGCTGGTACAGTGGTACCCCGCAAGACGAATGCCTCGCAAGACGGAAAACCCGCTAGACGAAAGGGTTTTCCGATTTGGAGGCGCTTCGCAAAACGAATTTCCCTATGGGCTTGCTTCGCAAGACGACAGCCCATAGGGAAATCTCCCGGACAGCGGGGAAGCGCGACTTCCCCACTGTCCTCGGACCTCCTCCTGCCGCCCGGCTTCGGAACGATGCTCCGAAGCCGGGCGGGGGGGCGGGAACTCCTCCTCCCTCCGCGCGGCTTTGGAGCATCGCACCGAAGCCGGGTGGGGGGACGGGAACGCTGCCTTCCTCCGCGCGGCTTTGGAGCATCGCACCGAAGCCGGGCGGGGGGCGGGAACTCCTCCTCCCTCCGCGCGGCTTTGGAGCATCGCACCGAAGCCGGGCGGGGGACGGGAACGCTGCCTTCCTCCGCGCGGCTTTGGAGCATCGCACCGAAGCCGGGCGGGGGGGCGGGAACTCCTCCTCCCTCCGCGCGGCTTTGGAGCATCGCACCGAAGCCGGGCGGGGGGACCGGAACGCTGCCTCCCTCCGCGCGGCTTTGGAGCATCGCTCCGAAGCCGGGCGGGGGGGCGGGAACTCCTCCTCCCTCCGCGCGGCTTTGGAGCATCGCTCCGAAGCCGGGCGGGGGGGCGGGAACTCCTCCTCCCTCCGCGCGGCTTTGGAGCATCGCACCGAAGCCGGGCGGGGGGACGGGAACGCTGCCTCCCGCCGCCCGAGACTTGGGGTGGGAGGAGGGTTTCCCTTCCCACCGCCAACATTCAGAATGCTGTTCTGAATGTTGGCGGTGGGGAGGAAAAACCCTCCTCCCACGCAAGCCCCGGGAACAGAGGGAAAGCGCTGCGCGCCTTCCCCTCTGTTCCCGTACCTGTCCTGAAGGCTTGCGGTGGGGAGAAAAGCCCTTCTCCGCACCGCCAGCCTGGCAAGCTGTTTCCCTAGGAACGCATTAATTGATTTTCAATGCATTCCTATGGGAAACCGTGCTTCGCAAGACGAAAAAACTCGCAAGAAGAAAAAACTTGCGGAACGAATTAATTTCGTCTTGCGAGGCACCACTGTATTCAGATACACTGCCTCTGAACACAGATATTCTAGTTAACTGTTGTGGCTAAAATCAGCTAGACTTGTACCCTGTGAATTTGCCTAATTCCCTTTAAAACGCATCTGAGCCAGTGGCCATCATCTCACCTTGTGGCAGCAAATTGAAATAAACTTGTATTATATGAAGATGGGACTTCTTTCCTGACCACCAAATTCACTGGAATCACTGCACAGCTAAGGGTGTGTGTTTGTGTGCATGCGTGCGCACTAACTCCTGGTTTGAGGTGCATCAGTAAATACCCTTAGGATCATTGCTTGGACTGATCTAGCACAGTCATAGGACTCTTGGAACAAGTTGGCATCCTAAATGGTTTGTGGAGACAATTGGAATGAAGTGCAACTTGAGATCATCAATTCTGCAATATAATTTATTACTAGAAATAAAACATTAGAAAAAGTCACTGGAAAAAGGCTTATTACAAAGTTTTAATACATCTTATTACGAGAATATAATGATCTTACCTACTTTAATGTATATGACAGTTCAAAGAATTTACAGTAAATATATTAACATATTTACAAAGGAATTATCAAAACCTGATAAGAAAAATTAAACGTTCATGACTGGAGTCAACTGAAGCAAGGAGCTTCGTGTCAGAGTCTTTCCATTATGTATAGTCTTCTCTATGCCTTCCAAGTTCATGAGAAAACTTCGTCTTTTCTTCAGTCCATCTAAGATGGCAGAATTCGCAGATGCCAGACTTTGTGTTCTAAAAAATGTTATTTTGTAAAACAGAAGATTAAATAAGAAACCTATTTTTCCATATTCAAACATTCAGAGTGACTTATTTCTCCATAAATTACCAAAAGAAATACTGGGTGGCTAAACAAGTACAAAAAAGTCATCTTTATTTTGAATCAGCTCAAGAATATTATGGAAATTATACTATTTATTTCAATTGAAGGGTAAGGAATATGGAGTCATAATACGATGCAGCCAGCAAGTGTTCCTTATACATCATCCTTCACCAACCTGATGCCCTCCTGATGTTTTGGACTACAACTCCCATCAGCCACAGCCAAAAACATCTGGAGGGCACCAAGTTGGTGAAGGATAGTATACATTATTTAACTTGACAGTTCACCCAGACCCACTTACTGGGATATCTTTCCTGGCCTTTTCTTGCCTTCCTGTAATACCTGATTTCCGCTTTTCTTTATCAGTGCTGTTCCTGAGCAACAGAAGCAAGTGTACAGTGACAGTACTGAGAAAAGGACTTCTTCCACCTGCTGTGCTGCAGTAAGAGTACTCTGTACTACCACCTGCAGACACTTGGGCATGTTGTAAGGTCCCTTACATCAGGATTGACTGAATACAATCGCCTACCTTTGCCATTCAGAATTTGGTAGTGGTATACATTATTTGACCATTCATACACACATGTGACAATTAGAGCATTGTATTTAAAAGGTTGTTTAAGTGGGCAAAGTTATCCAAGCATTCATGAGGACTCCTTGCATTCAAAGACAAGGAAAATACCATGTTTCATTATAGGACTGTGCTTTCCCAGCCTTGCAAGGTCCTGAAAGGCCCATGTGAACAGAGTTGAGAGTTATCTATGCCAATAGGCAATCTGCATTTTCCAATGCACAGCTGAAGGCCCTGTTAAAAAACCCCTTAAAGTACAATTCACATATGTGTACAAGAAATACCATTAACATTCTTTGTGTTTAAGAAAGTCACTTGTAACAGTTGTTCTTACCTTGGAGAATCTATCCCGCTGTCTCCTGTTATGCTGTGGTTTCCCGTCCCTTCCAAGTGGTTTTGCTCATACTGGACACACTGATCTAGAACTGCAGCATCAGTTTTATCCAACAATTGCTTTCTTGTATCATTTGTCTTAATTTCCCAGCCTTTTGGTGGCAGCATCAAGGATGCTAATTTTCCACCCACTTCGTTTACTGACTTCTGCCAAACTCTGGTCTCTGCCTCATGCACATCATAGAAATCAAACAAACAGGGTTCAGCAGTATCAGGTGTCTGCCCACGTTCATAAACATCCTCTCGCTCTTCATTGCTCTTGTAGGCAAACTGAGATAGCTGGTGGCACACACAACTTCCTCCTTCTAGGCTCATCTTCTGATACTCTTTTAAGCTATCCTTAGATCTAGAAAAACCAAGGAATTCATTTTCTTCACACTCGCAGGGACCAACCCCGTCTGTATCAATTCTGTATCTTGAGAAGTGAGAATTAACACTTCCATTTCCCAACACAGTTGAGCCCAAATCTTGTTCTATGCTGTTCCACTTCCCTGTATCTGAAGAATTATATGGGAGTTGGCTGGATTGAAGCTTGGACAAATCCACATCATGTTGCTCTTCATCACCATGATATAGAGAACTACAAGTGTTACCACCATCCAATTCTTGATACGGAGTCGGTTTATCATAAGTGAATCTTTCATTTTGTGGGTTAACAGACTCAAGCCATTTGTTCATGTTAGTACACTCACTCTTTAAATTGTCATTTTGTCTGTGAGCAACAATATTTTCAGATTGTTTAAATTGTTGAGCATCTGCCTCGCTGGGAAGATGGGTATCAGTTAGTTGGTGTGCTGTTTGACCCAGCAAGCCAGTTTGATCACACTGGTGAGTTTGACTGAGGTTCTGAGGATGCATTTTCTCCACTACTGCTTCATCCACAAATGCAGCAGAAGTGTTAGACACTGCCTGCATCTCCATACTTTTTGGGGCTGCCCTTCTATGCAAATTACCTTTGCCAGCTGCACTTTCCTCCAGACAACTATATTTGACTTCTTTTTGTAAAACCTTGCATTGTAGGTAATTTAACTGTTTCATTTTGTCGTCTTCAGCATCACATTTGATGCTGACTGACTGCTTAGCTTTACAGTCCACGGTTCTTGAGGAATCCAGAGACCAGGACTGTGGGAAATTCTTCTCTGATCTTGGAGCTCCGAACTTTACATCGTAGTTTTTCTGACTCCTATGTCCTTTCGCTGACCTATTCCCTTTACAAGAAATATCTTTAAATGGATTAGTAACTTCTTTTTTGTATATAAAGTGAGATTCAACGTTGATTGCATCCTCACACAACTGCTGATTGCAAACTATAGTTTCATTTGTAATACAAGATGATGGATGTTCAATGCAGTTTTCCAGTTTGCTATTAGCTGGTATTTGGTCATCACTTTTAAACTCCCTTGATGACTTATTAACGTGCTTTTCTTTGTTGGACTGCAGTTTCTTGCGATGCTTTGCAGCTTTATTTTGTTTTTTCTGAGTGAACCCTTTGGGAAGATGTTTGTGTTTCATTGTCAACACTTCTGTAGAGGTTCCTTTACTGATATATTTTTTCTGCTCCTCTATTTTCTGCATCAGTGCAGTGTGCTTGGTTAAGTTGTCGACAGTCAGCACAGGGTTGATGCGTTTGATAATTTCATGTTCAACATCACGTGGGATATTATCCAAATTATCTTCATCCCTGACTGGCCATTCTTCAGGAGGAAACTGGGCGGAAAATGAAGTGTGCACTTTTTTTGGTTTTTCTTTCTTGGAAGTGTTGCGCCAGAAAAGGCTAAGACCGAACTTCTTAATCTTCTCCTTCTCTTTCCCCGACTGCATATAGTGAGCAGCTCCACAAGAACGGTTCTCAACAAGTGTATTGGTGGCCTGATTCTGAACTGAAAATCTGGATTCACAAGACCCTTTTTGACTTTTCCCAATAGGCTGAGGGCTGACATGTTGCTCATTGACTGCAGTCTGCCCAGGGAAACAATGGCAGGATCTGCAATGGGATGCAATAGGGAAATTATTTTGTAGAAGTTCTGCAGCATCTTCCACGCTTACAAGGTATGTAACAGAAGGCTCTTGAGGGCAATTATCTTCCAAAAGGACCCTCTTGTTGTTTTTCATAGCATTATTACAGATAAAATATGTATTTGGGGTCACTATGAAATATCCTTCCCCAGTGTGATATATCTTCCGTTCTTTAATTAGCATCCCAAGTGTACTATATAGAATATCATGCGTGGGAGTTGCAATACCTAGAATAAAAGGGATGATAGTATAATATTAGTCATTTCTGTGGCATAGTCAATATGAAAAATAGTTTATAACTCTTACCACATTTCTGGGTCAGAACAAATTTATGCTGTAAACCACTGTTATAGCCTGCTCCAGTGTGTGCTTTCTCAGAAGAAATTACTGTTGTGTTTTATGGGAATCATTCCTGAGTAAGTGTACATACAACTGCAGCCCCAATATTTTTCCAAATGGAAAGGGGGGGGGATTGCTTACAGCTAACTGATTTCTGACTTTAACTTATTCATATGGATGCACCATAGATTTTTATATGGAACAATTGTCTTCCTTTAATGCTAAAGGCAATATGCCTTCTCCTGGTTGGACAAGAGGGGGCAGCAAATACACACCAAAGGGGTTGCTTCAAAACATGAACAATAAAATACTCATTTAGAATGCTTCCAAACCGAAGGTTTTTCAAATGCGTGACCTGCAGACAAAATCCGTCATCAATCCTTACAGGCTCATTGGAGTCCCCAGCATGGCTAGTGAAACCCCTCCCACACAAATTACTGAGCCATTTTTAGGGTTAAGAAGCAAACACGCTTAGTAGGGCAAAGGGGGCTTACTCAGCATTGACATCCTACAATTCCCTTCAGATTAGTAGCAAATTTTGACTCAAGAGTGTGAGCAGTACATTGCAGTACAACAAAGCAAAGCGAAGTGCAGAATTGGCAGTTTACCAATATATTTGCAGCCAAGAAAAGTGCTTGGACCCAAAAGTGGAAGTGCAGTCATGTTCCGATTTCTGCCACAGTCCAGGAGGGAAAGGCGCATTCTGCACAGATGTAGCTAAACTCATTGTTTTAATATGAGCCACCTCCCACAACTTCATTTTCCTCAATTAGACTAAGCAAAAGGCAAGTTTACCGCTCCAGTTCAGCAAAGGGTGATTTGTAAAGGTGAAGCCTCATAACATCCATTTATTTGTAAATCAGCAAACTGCCTGCAATTACCATGTGTGGGACATACATGGAAGGAAGACTGACACAGGAGTCTCTTGTGGGGAGGTCCTTGCATGCTCTCCATGCTGCAGACACAAAGTGTACAAGGGCAGGCCATTAAGTGCCGGTATTTACAGCTGTCTCCAGCATGCTACTTTTGCCACACAGAATGGCTGCCATTCATTCTGATGAGGGGGAAGTAAAAAGAGGTGTATGGATCTGCTCCATCTCTAGTGGTTTCAGCCGCTGAGAATCAACCCATCTCATATCTGCACTGCTTCATCCTGGGTTCTGTTTCTCACTCATGCTAAAGCTGGGGTAGGGGAACACAACCTGTGGCCCCCCAGATGTTGTTAAACTACAGCTCCCATCTCTGACCATTGGCTGCGCTGGCTGCAGCTGATAGGAGATGAAATCCAACAAAGTATGGAGGGACGCAGGCTTTTCATTCCTGTGCTCAAGTGTGAAGGAAAGTTGGGTGCTGCCTAATGAGGGATCTTTTTTTTAAAAAAAAAGCACACACACTAAAGACTACTTATATGTTTTTGGATGTAAATATAATATACTGAAAATGGAAAGTGTTACTGTGACAAACACATGTATCATGTAGGTTTGCTCATCTGGTATATTCTTTGCCCACATTGTTTTCACACAACCATCTTTATGCTCCTGATATCTAATTCCCCCCAACCCCCATGAATTTTGATGACTGCAAGCTGGCAGCCCAGATTTGTAATGCAGTGTGAGTTAGAAAACTTAGATCCTGTGTTTTGTTTTTCATCTGCTGATTTACAAAGGGAATTCTAATTGCTTTCCTGGTCCCAGACAGCATGCATTCTTTCACTCTGCTAGCTGCAAACCCCCTTGAGTCCAATGTTTATGTGAAGTGTCAACAACCCATGATTTAACAGATTACCTGGGTAATGTTTCCCCAGCTGATCCAGTAAGGTTTCCTGTGTAACGGTAATTTGAGCTGCATTCATATCAGATATAGCACAACACAAGACTTCTGCCAAAGGAACGAACTGGGACTGTGAAATGGGATTCATGTGCACTGGAGATACATCACCTAAAAGGAATAGAGAGGGGTGTGGGGAAAAAGAAATGAACTTCCTTTCTACTTTGGAATACAGTATTTCTCCCCCCCCCCATTGCCCTTTCAAAATGTTGGCTTCTTTTAGCTTCAGCATGATGGATAAATGATCATAGTTCTAAAGAAGTAAAAGCCATTTTAGCAATTATTAGCTCAAAAACAAACATCTTGAAGCATGTTAAGCAGATGCTGCAGGCAGATATGTGTCTTCGGATGTTTACACCATCACTTAAGTTCTCTGGTTTCTCCCCAAATACATACCATATGAAGTGAAAACACTAAGTTTTCCTTGGAACTATGTGAAACACTCAGTCTGTTTAAACATTTTAGAAGGTGTTACAGGACTCTTCCCAAGACATTTATGCGATTCAATGAGTAATGCAATATAATTGAGGTTTAAATTAAATGTAGCCTACTCAAAACAGCTGTCTTGTGTTACAGCTAGGGCAAGAAAAGGTCTCTTTAGGATTATTTTCTCTTTAAGTCAACAAAATAAACAACAGTCCCTTTTGAAGAAGTTGTTAAACACTTCTTGACCTCTGTTTTACAACTGGCAATGGTTCTGTTTAACAGAATGTGTTTAGAGAAGTTCCTAAGAATTTCCTCTATGACGTTGCTAAGCTACTACCAGCAGGTGTATAAATCAGTGTCAGCTTGCTTTGTGTGGAACGGGAATTCAAGAAAAAAACACTGTGAATAGTATAACATTGGTGCTAGTTACTGTAAATGGAAAAGCTGGTTTCACAGTTTCTTGCAAAGCACACCTTAAAATGGCTGTTTTCTATCTTTGACAGTATTACAAAGTTAGTTTTCCAGGAAAAGCCAAAGTTCCAAACAAAAGGTAGACCAGCATCAGCATGTGTGGTGGCATAATTTCTTCCCAATGACGCTTCTCTCGGGCTATTGTTAACACATTGCTCAAGCCCTCATATTTTTCAGCTTAACAAACACAGCAGGACCCATCATGAAAGAGCATCTTGAAAGATCAAGATTATCCATCTGTTTATAAAGGTTAATCTACACAAATGAATTGTATAGGGGATAAACACACACATCACAACAGTTGGGGTCATTGTTCATATCCATAGCTATTTTGGATTGCAAACACTTTGAGTAGGATGCACCTAACAAGTCCCGTCAGCAGAAACCCTGCATGAGGACTTCTGTTTGCACAAGTCTGTACCACCAGCTTTCAGAAGTACCATCTTTACTTAGAAAGTATTCCACTCACTGGTGTATCCACAAATCTAGTTTGGTGTCTGTACAAATGTGAACATAAAGTCATATCTCTGCTTCAACAATCCTATAAATATGTTGACCTGGCACCAGAAATCCATGCACCTAGCAATTCTTGGTTGGTTACCAACAGGAATATAGTGCTTACCATTCTGTGGTGGCAGAAATGAAACACACCTCCTGGCATGGCACTTCTCATAACAATATATTTAAAGCTTAACAAAAATATTTGTTTTGGCCCAGAACAAAGGAACCTGGCACCCATCAGGTACAGCAAATGCAAGCCCCATTGATTGCAAAAATACAGCTCAACTTCTACAGTGAGCAAAGTAACTTTTTTAAAAAAAGAACCTCACAAACTCCAGCCTAGGCAACCTGCCAAAAATTCATGTATTATTGACCCTCAAATGATTTTACCAGTCTACTCAAACACAGATAATTGTTTACACATGCGAAATCCGAGAACGCATTTTCAGAGCATATACCGAAACTCAATGTGGGAAAGTCATCTGCAATACAAGAGTCAGATAACAAAACATAGGGAACAAAAAGTCTCCAGATACGCTTCACCAACATAAAAAGATGTTTTGTTCTGTCCTTGTAACTTGAGTGTTGCTGGATTAATGGTGCCTTCACTGGGCAGGTAGCACATTTCTGTCTTCCCTTCAACATTCCAATTCAGATGTAGAGGGAGTCGGCGCAAATCTGTTATGGTCAACAGATCTGCTGTACACTAGAGCTCAACTTTAAGGTTCTTAAAGCTGAACATACTTGGTAGTTCAGAATACTGATTATGCTTAGGAGTAAATTACAGGAGACTTGGAAGATCTAGAACTGCATCTCACAACAGTTTGTTTTTTATTTTATAGCAGCCACAGAGGCGGTGTGTGAGAATTTATTTATGTATTTATTTTATTTATAAAGGTTTTTGTTTGTTCGCTTCCCTTGCACTAAATTATCCTCCTCCAAAAAGCAGCTGCTGTGTTTGCACCCAGCAAACAGTATACACGTCTTCTCAGAAGTAACTACCATTGTTTTAAATAAGGCTTACTTCCAGGAAAGTGTGCAGCCTAAATCAGTTTTCAGCAGCAGCAGAAAGATAAATAGGTCATTTTCATTCAGTTATCACAGGCTTCCTCAGCCCTCCAGATGTTTTGAGACTACAATTCCGATCATCCCTGACCACTGGTCCTGCTAGCTAGGGATCATGGGAGTTGTAGGCCAAAAACATCTGGAGGGCCAAAATTGAGGAAGCCTGAGCTATCATGACTCCAACATCTCTTTCCTGGCCAGGAACTACCAGTCCAGACTCTATTAATGCATAAGTGAAGTTAGGATTTCTTGTCCCA